AGAATATCTGAAGCTTTCAAATAAAAATGAGCTGTAAAGAATTATATTGCTTTCCTGTGATGCTTTTTACATATAAAATACTAACTATCCAAATAATAACTTTTTTCACACGCCTTTGTGAGACACAATTGTAAAATTCATGTTCCATAAACAAACAAGGGTCAGGGGACTGTGAATTGGTAAGAACGGTGGAGGCAGAATTTTGTAAGTTAATGAGAAAATCAGGTAGCACGAAGTATGGATTTCTTCTAACCTCATTACTACCTTTTATAAACTAATACATACTTTTAGGTAGAATATTCTAAATTCACTAGAATACTTATAGCTGTCAATAAGTCTAATTAATTTAGAGTAAGAAATTTAAAAAAATACAAATTGGAGTAGGAACTGTAATCCCAAGAGCAATGAGTACTTTTTTTTTTTAAAGACTTTATTTATTTATTTGACAGAGAGAGATCACAAGTAGGCAGAGAGGCAGGCAGAGAGGGAGGGGGAAGCAGGCTCCCTGCTGAGCAGAGAGCCCAATGTGATGTTTGATCCCAGGACCCTGAGATCATGACCCGAGCCAAAGGCAGAGGCTTTAACCCACTGAGCCACCCACCCACCCCATGTACTTCTTAATAAACATAAACTGATTCTCCTTTAGATTGTTATTTAGAGCACGTAACTATTTACTCTTTCTAGAAATATGAACCCCCCCCTTGGTGTTCCACTAACAAAACAACAGTTAGTAAAAAATATTTAATAATCTATAGGGCAGTTCAAAACCAAAATATTTATAATATTAAGAAAATGTGAGTGATGAGAGTTATAGGCACAGTTAATATTCCTCAGAAGCCATGAGAAGCCCTACATTGAACAAAGAACTGAAGTTATTCAAACTTGGGTATCTGGCCGACATCTTCTCAAAATGAACAAAGTGTACCTGCCCCTTGGCAGAAAACAACTGACAGTGTTGGTAGCCCAGCAGTCCCCAAATGGAGCTGTTTTGACCCAGCAGGTGACATCTGGCAAGGTCTGCACACATTTTCAGTTCTCACCACTGGGGTGTGTGGGGGGATACTACTAGTTAGAGGTCAGAGATACTGGTTAACATCCTACGTGTACAAGCAGCCCCTATGACTGGCCCAAAACAACAATAGTGTCGAGGCTGAGAAATCCTGTGGCCGCTGGTGACAAAAGTTAAGCTTTCAAGCAAAAATAAAAAATTTTGGAAAACTCAATCTGCCCCCATAAGTCTGACAGTTTCCCAATATGTAAAGACTTCTCTGATGAGATCTGTAGTGATTTAATGAATGTCAATTTCTGATATTGTATAATAAAATGTGTCAACATCTGGAAGGTCCACATAACTTAGTGTATGAATATGTTTCCAATGGCCAATGCATGATGATAGACAATTATGCTCAGTTAAAAAAATCTATTCAAAGTGTTTTAAAATATATAAATGGATTTTAATGTAGCAGAACATAAAAAGTTCACTGCTGTGGTTTCAGATTTCTTATTAGTGTAGTATTAAAGAACACCCACAATCTTCTAAAAAAGGCTCTTAAAATCCTCCATTTTCCAATTACACATCTGTGTAAACCTGGATTTTCTTTATACATTCAACCAAAAGAACATATTCAACAGATGGATTCAATAGCAGATATGAAAATCCAACTGTCTACATTAAGCCAGATATTTTAAAAAAGTTGCAAAAATGTAAAATACAACTCTATACGTTTTTGAAAAATGGTTATTTGCATTAAAATACATTATTTATGTTACCATATGATGGGCTTCCTACTGTTACTTTCAAATTAGTATTTTTAAAAATTTCCCAGTAAACTGGTGTATTTATTGATATTGGCAAACGTCACACAAACAAAAGCTCTTTGGGGGTTCCCAATAACTTAAGAGTAAACGGAGTTCTAAGACTACAAAGTTTGAGAATCACTGATTTCTCTATATAGTTCTTTAATGCTTGCCTCTGTATTATTTAATATACCTCTTTTCCAGGTCCTGGACATATACTAAGTAAACCTCCAGTCACAAATACAAAGAACAGAGTATTTGAAATTGCCCAAATAAAACAAATCTCTGTTCCTTACAAGATCAGCTGAAATCTATCATAAGTATACATGTCCCTGAAATGTGTTTGAAATTACTGTTTGAAAGTTTAGATTATCAGGTACTGCAGTTTAAAACACAATAGTTGCCATGAGTGCTGAGCTGAAAACTGCCTAATACACTTCCAAGTATCACTTAATACAATTTAATGGAAATGAAGTCAATGCAAGGTATTTCCAACCTTTGCCAGGTACTTCCTATGTCTTCATAGCCACCTTTTAATCGCTCTTATCTTCAAATATGCTGCCATTTAAAAAATATTATATGCCATCCAGTCTTATCAACTCTATAGATATGAGTTTATTAATGAATGAAAGCTCTTTCCAGTTAAAGATATGGAGTTATTTGCAATAAAACAACATTATTTAACTAATTAGGTCCCAGAATGTTGCCAACACTTGTGTCATGAGAAACAAGACAAATTATTAAAAATGTGTATGTTTCAAATACACTTCAAGACCAAAAGGTCCATTTTGCCTATCATAAAGCAAAGTAATTATTCTCTTTAATAAAGCATTTGTAGATGGCCCTGTCTTCATGAGAATTAATGTAAGATAAAAGTATTTTGCTGATTTACTAATATTACATCTAAATAAACAGGTATATTAATATGTATTTTATAATGACATAAAACCAAAGACAAAACCAAAAACAAACCAAACCCTATCATTATCAGGGTGAAGAATTGTTAAGGCTCCAGGTTCGGAGGGCATATCTACCTAAATCTTTCAAATACGAAAGGAAAATGATGTTAAAGTATTTGCCTGAATTTTTCTGTGGGTATTGAGAATGCAACTCGGGAACATCTCTCATACACAAATGTTGGGTAGAATGTTGTATTCCCTACCTCCTTTTTAAAGGGAATAGAGTGCTTAAGACCGTGAGCTCTGGAATTAGAGCACCTGGGTTTAAATTCCAGCTCTACAATTTACTGGTAGTACAATGCTAGACAAGGTACTTAACCTTTCTGTGCCTCAGTTTCCTTATCTGTAAAATAGAGACAATAACAGCAGCTACCTCACAGAACCATTGTACAGGCTACCTGAAAAAATATATATAACTTAAAACAGTGCTTGTTATAGATGTGAACTAATAGGGTTATATTAAGTGTTACTATTACCCAATTCCCCAAACTGTATAGGTCAGCCACCACTAAACCATGGTATCCAGGACTGACAGTGACAGATGGTGCATGTAGGAACCAATGGGACTGCAAATCTTCTCTTTACCCACACTAATACTCCTTTGGTCAAAGGAGAGAGATGGATATTAACATCTATCAAGTAAAAACAGTGTAAATCAAAGGGCTAAAATTAAAAAAAAAAAAGGGGAAGGAAGGAAAGAAGCAAGAAGGGAGGAGGAAGGGAAGAAAGTGAAGAAGTGTTGGAGTGAATTTAGAAATAACTATCAACAAATTTTAAAGTACTAGATCACAAGAGTTGTATTATTCCATTTTATAAAATGTTGTTGAATCACCATTATAACCTAAGTATATATATACATTTTAGAAGATTAACTAATACTAAGAGATCAGTGGACGCCTCCTACCTCCCCCCCAAAAAAACACAAAAGGTCTGGTCAATTATCTGTGTTTGGATCAGTACCTTGTGCCTAAAGCTTTAAGACTAAGGAAAGGAACAGCAATTTCCAGAAAAGAGAAAAAAAGTAAATAAAACAAAATAAATCACCTCCTCATGTGACACACAAGGCACATAAAACTTAAGTGAAAAATTAATTGCTGGATGTTAATTATTATATCAGGTATCTCACGCATCATAAGATTTAGGTTCAAAAGATGCAGAATTCACTCATTCAACTCATTTGCTAAGCACTTACCAGATGAACTAGGCATTGTGCTAAACACGAGGGAAACAAGGAAGAATGAAATCTAGCTCCCGCTTCAGGAAGTTCAGAACTTCCTGGAGAAGACATATGGAAACAAATAACTCAAATACCACAAATAAATGCTTTAAAAAAGGGGTTTGAATGGAGTGCTCCAGGAGCCTTAAAAGCAATATGACTAACTGCCTCTGGGGCACCAGAAGACTTCACTGAAGAGTTACCATCTGAGCTGGCCCTAAAAAGTGGACAGTTTTCCAGAGTGAAGGAGAAACATTCTAAATATGGGGCACAACACATGTGCCCAAAGTACATGGTGACAGTAAGCATGGAGGACAGCAACACTTCTCGTGGCACTGGGCATCTGAGGGAAAAGGCATCAGGAGAAGTCGGTCTCAGATTATGTCAGACTGTGTCTCTTGTGCTCTGAGCCAACTTGTGAGCAACGGGGTCCCAGTAAAGGTGTTCCACAAGCAAAGTGACACATCAGTTTGGTTTCTCAGGAAAATAAAAACTGGTGCTACTCTGGGGGATGCACTTAAAGAGAAGACAACCCAATTCTGAACCTGCTAATAAGTAAGAATTCTGGGACTATTCTCACCTCATCTGAAAAACAAAACAAAACAAAACAAAACAAAAACCAGCGGATTCAGCAAAACAGTGTTCCCAAATTGATGAGCATAAATCACAATATAAACTGCCACCATCGAGACTAAAAGAACCAAAGTACAATACACAAAATTCCTCATATGAATGAAGAATTACAACGGTCTCACAGAAAATTGTAAATTGTTAGGACTATAGTAAGAGAAATATTCAGCCCTGGAACTAAAGTATCTTTTTGAAAGAACAAAAAATTATGTGTACACCAAAATATCAACTATAAGTTTTACTTTTGCTTCTTTATACTTTTGGGTTCTTTTCAAAATTTCCACAATAAGCAAGTAGTACATTAATAATAAAAAAATTTTTAAAAGCAATTTTTAAACACTGTTTATTGCAGTTGATAAACAATTATCTTTGTAAACATCCTAAAACTAAAATATTACCTTTTTGTCTCCTTGTTTTCGTCTTCTTAACCCTGGTCTATAATCATCTCCAAATCTCAGAAAGTAATAGTAAGAAACTAGCCTCTCGATAGGATCCCTTATGACATTAATGTAAATTGGCTTCTTCTTCACACCAAATCTGAAACAGAGAGAAATGTAAAAGGTGAAATCTCTATTTTCATTCTGTTTTGGGGTATCCTGAAATTAAAAGTTTGAGGTATAAATTCTATAAGGAAAGAAGAACATGAGTTTATTTAAATAAACTAGAATATGTGGAGATAAGGAAATTGTTTATGATTATTTATGTTACAATACAGTGAAACAGGAAGTAAGAATTTAAAAATTACTGCTGAAGATAAAGAAGAGAAGGGAAATTTGAATGAAAGACAATTTTAAATTTTACTGGCAAGAATTACATAAAACATTTTAATTTTATGTAGCAATGATTTTTCATTTCTGGCCCACCAAACCAGACACCCGTTATCAACAGATACGTTAAATCCACACAAGTGTGACCACTGGAGTCTACCTTCTGCTATTGCTGATTTTAAAGACAAGAGCGAAAGACATTTGGTTTTCAGCACTGTTTCCTTGGGGAATGAGAAAGAAGTGAAGGAACAGAGGAGACAGAGAAGGCTTTTACTTTAGCAACCCTCAGAATCATCCAGCTGCCGCCTGTTCTAATATCCTCACTTGTCCCAGTTTTGAAACTTTTCGTGTTATCTTCATCTCTACTTTCCTTTATTCTTCATTTAGTACAGTGACCAATCATTTAGAGTTTTCTGCTGTCGACTTCCCCACAGATCTGACCTGTCCTCATCACTCCCCTCTTTTCCACCACTGCCCTCTCCCAAGGTGTCTTGTTGGCATCACTGCAATAACCTCATTGTTTTTCTTGCAGTGGTGTCTCTCCTTTCCAATCTACCTTCCAGACCAATTCCCAACTGATATTACCAAAACTACATTTATTATATCATTCTTCTTAGGAACTTGGAATAACTCAACTGTTTATGTTGACATCAAACCCAAACTCCTTTGGTTGCTAATGCCTGCTGGCCTATGTCTCAGGTACCATCTGATTGACCTTACTTTATTTTTAACTGTCCTCAAACAAGAAGCCATCTGTTAGAGTTAGGCCCACCCCTTCTACCTCTCCCAGCATATAACACATTCCTATTTCTCCTTACATGACTCTGCTCATTCTGTCTTCCTTACTAGAATGTCATTCTCATTTTTCTATTCTATTACATTAATTCATTTGAAAAATACTTTTTTGGTGCACCCAGTACATGCCAGCACTATTCTCATACTAGGAGTACAGTGGTAAGAAAAAAAAAGACAAAATTCCTTGCCCTAGTGGAGCCAACATTCTATTTGGGGGAGACAGGACATAAAAAATAAGTAAATATGTGAGATGGTAAAAAGTACTAAGGAAAAAAAATGATGCAGTGAAAGGGAATAGGGACGGCCAGAAGTGGGGAGAGTAGAATTCGAAACAGGGATTTCCAGGCAGGCCTCTGGAAGAGAATGTTCTGGAGATGAAACTCCAGGAGTATGAAGTCCCCACCCAGAGCAAGCTGCTAACTGCCAGGCATTTTCAAGAATAGCAAGGCGATGAGCCTGGCTGCAGCAGAATCAGAAAGTGAGTAGGGAGAAGGGGGTGGGGTGGAACAAGTACAGATCAGAGGTTTACAAGCATCAGGAGGGAAGCCTGAGTCAGCAGAGAAGTGTCACGATATGGGCTGTAATGTACGAGACGGTGACTATAGTTACCAACAGTGTATTATAAACCTGAAGTCGCTATGGAGAGCAGACTTCGAAGGTTCCTGCCTTAAGGACAGCAACAGGATGGTAATTGTGTGACCTGAAGGATGTGTTAACTAACCTTAACAATGCTAAACACCAAACAATACATGTGTATCAAATCATCACACTCACCATCTATCACACCATCACACCACTGTACACTTTAAACTCACCCAATGTATATGTCACTACATCTCGATAAAGCAGGAGAGAAAAAAACCACCATTGGCTGCTGTTTGGGAACACAATGCAGAGGGGCAATAAAGAAATCTTGTAAAGCCTAGGAAGCCTAGGGCTCAAGTGCTATCTGCTTTCACTGACACCTGCACCCAGGAGATACTGCTCTCAGGCAATTCCATTCACGGCTTGTCCTACTAGTGTTTCTCTTGTAAGTCTTACAAGCCATTTGAGAACAGGCATAGTACTGTACATTTCTTTTATGTATTTCATAGCACCAAGTATACATAAATACTTGCCCGCCGATTAGTACTAATTTGAAAGATTAAAAAAATATTAGCAATCTCTCCTAAAATAGGAATCACGATAAGAAATGAGAGACCTAAGCTTCAGTTGTGTGACTCTGATAAGAGACAGTGAAAGTTGCTTATTCTTTTAACCACTCTTGATATGTTCATTCATCTGTTCACAGAAACCTTCAATTTTAGCTCACAGATTATAACTTAAATTTCCTTTCTTACTAAAATCTTTTTCCAAAGGCACTAAAAAGCATATAGCTAAACTAACCAATTTCACATTTCCCCATTACTTCTGCCCACTGCAATCAATGTCTTACAATCAGCAGGCAACATCTATAAATGTTTTCTACTTGGTTCTTAAGCAAATGAGCAGTGAAAAGAGAGAGTATAGAAGAGAAAAGGCAAGGTGCCTGGATAACTCGATTCTTTCAGCCTCTGAATTACTGAAAATTAACCAACTGGGAAATTCCTAATTTACAAATAGGTTATATTCTATAAGAACCATTTGTGTGTGAGAAGGGGTCAGCGGTCTTGACTTCTAGTTCTTTTCTCACCACTAAGTGACTCAAAGTCACTAAAATTCTGTGTATATAATGAAATACTGCAAACTACAGAAAGTTCCCTTGTCAAACATCATCATAATATTAAAGCTGTGAGTTGATCAGAATAGGTATGCATTTTTTCACTCAACTCATAAAACCGATAATGCAGTAAACAATTTTCTCACAAGTTTTTAAAAGAGGAAGCAGTATCATTGCCAAAAATATGGCACTGTCACCTTAGACATTACAGTAGAAGCTCCATGAGGGCAGGGACTGCTTCCCTCTTACTCATGGCTTTATCATTAGTGTCCAGCACAGTGCCAGACACACAGGTGTCAAATATCACAGAATGAGTTGAATAGACTGCTGGGAAGTAACCACTTAGGCAGCCTTTCTGTAGGACAGAGTACTCAGCAGCAAGAGCCAGGGTCAGGGGGCAGGGGGGAGACATCAGAAATACACAGTTGAGGGGCACCTGGGTGGCTCAGTCACTTGTGCACTGGACTCTTGGTTTCAACTTGGGTCGTGATCTCGGGGTCATGAGATTAAGCCCCGACTAAGGCACCACGCTCAGTGTGGCATCTGCTTCAGATTCTCTGCCTCCCTCTCCCTCTGCCCTTCCCACTCATGCTCTTTCTCTCTCTCAAATCAATCAATCAGTCTTGAGAAGAGAAGAGAAAAAGAGAAGAAAAACAAAAACAAAAACACATTTGCTACCTTAATTATGAGAGTGGAGAGTCTTAATACCAGGTAGCTACAAGGAGGGGAAAGCACAGGATGATGGGGCAATGACTCCAACCTTAAAACTGTGGGACTGCCTGGGAACCCCTTTACCATCTCCATTAGCTAGTGACCACCGCGAGTCATTCTCTTGGGAATTAACTCCTTCCCATATAATCTCCCACCACTGCTTCCTCTGTTTTCCTCCCCACCCTCCCAAGTCCCTGACATGTGGGACAGATAGCAATTATTACCAAGTGGCACTGAAAAGGAGATACGGCACTTTACAAAATTCTTCTTGCTGTCTGGAAAACAACTTTCTGGGGCATGGCTCTGGTGGGATTTACACGTATGAAGTATGATTTGAATGAGATACATGTATGAACTCATTCTGAAGATGGATAAAACTCTTATTTATATATTACTGTATGGTTATATAAACAGGGAGGCAAGAGATTCTAACAGAAAACAGGCATGACAAAAATAGCATCTGGGTCATTCAACTCGGCTTCTTAGGAAACAAGCATCCTTTTAGGTTTGTGGGTTTAATTCTTCTTCCAACCAAGTAGTTTTGCACAGGGAGAAAACGTTCTCTATGGTTGTGAACTCCACATTTAACCCTGGCTGGCATCTGAGCTGTTCCTCGGGAGGGCTCAGGTAAAGAAAAGACAATCCATCTTCATTCCAGAGATATAAACTATTATTGACCTGTTAGAACATGATCTTCCTAGGAAGAGAACAGCATATTTGATAGGAATCTGTGATGTTCTATAACGATCAAAAGGCAAAAAATATAATCTTAACAGCAGGTTTGTAAGAAGATATTTTAGAGACCTTATTCTTGCCACATCAGCATATGGGGTACGGCAAAGCATGGAACACGATCTAGGCTCATGTCTTTACACCTACACTCTACATAGTTTGGATAAACGAGTAAACGTTGAGAATGGTTAAAAGAACAAGAGTGCATACTCAGAACATTTGAATGGGACCTTGTCGTCTAACTGGGCAAAGCCCACATGGAACGTGATGAAGCTGCAAGAGGGCTGACTAACCTTTGGGAAGCACAATGCTGTGTGATTTCTGCTTCATACTAGATTTAACCTCTCTAGGAAAGCAGCGGCCTCACTGGGGACACTGATATATATATATATTTATTCTGGACTCTCTTAGCCCTAAAGGGTTCAGAGAAACTGTCAAATCCTTCCCCATGTGGCAGGTTCCCATGATCTTGTTTCAAAAACAGAGAATGACCTGTTGGTATTTGTTGGTCCCACTGGTGATGTTGTGATTTTTGTAGTAGTTATTTACCTCTTAAAAAGGGCATTCATCTATTATGCATCTGTGAGAATGGCCCAAACTTTAAAAAAAGAAAAAAAAAAAAAAAAGGCCTAACAATACCAAATTCTGGCACAAATGCATGGCACCTGGAACTCTCATACACTGCTGGTGAGATTGCAAATAGCACAGCCACACAAAAAAACAGCTTTGCAGTATCTTATAGAGTTACTCTACAACCCAGCAATCCCACATTCTACACACCAAAGAGAAATGAAGACATAGGTCCACAAAAAAATCTATGTGCAAATGTTCTAGCAGCTGTACTCATTAGTACCAAAAGCTGGAAACAATCTGAGTACCCAGAAATTGGTGGATGGATGAAGACTGTGGTGTATCCACACAATGGAATACTGTTCCTCCAAGAACAAACCACTGATAGATGCATACACTGGACAAATGTCAAAAGCCTTATGCTAAGTGAAAGCCAAACTCAAAAGACCTGGTGACTGATCAATGTATGTGGTGAAAAAAGGGGTTGTCCAAGATGACTCTAGTTTCTGGCTTTGATATCTTTTTTTTTTCTTAAGATTTTATTTATTTATTTGACGGGGAGAGAGAGAGAGAGAGAGAGAGAGAGAGAGAGCGAGCGCACCAGCAGGGGGAGCGGCAGAGGGAGAGGAAGAAGCAGGCTCCCTAATGCCCGGCTCCATCCCAAGAACCCTGGGATCATGACCTGAGCCGAAGGCAGATGCCTAACCGACTGAGCCACCTAGGTGCCTTGTGACTTTGATGTCTTGGTAAAGAAAAATGGGCAAACTTCCCCAAAGGGAATAATGGGGGCAAAGACAGAGTCCTGAGCAATGCCTTATTAAGAGTTGAGAATAAGAAGGGCCAGCATGGATTCAGACAGGGAGAAGAAAACACCAGTAAGACAACGTGGTAACTGAGAGAAGACAGAATTATAAAAGAACATAACACTGCTTTGTGTGAGACACGAAACCTACTGCTTCACATACATTATCATATTTAATCCTCACAACCACCAGGAAGTAGTTACTTTTATTATCTTCACTTCACAAATGGGGAAAAGGCAGATCTGCAGTGATGCGCCTGAAACTGCAGAGCCAGTAAGAAAAGGGAGGATTTAATGGCAGATCTCCCTGGCTTGGGAGACTGCCCCTAAGCCATCTACAGCATCAGTGCTGTAGAAAGTGCTGTAGAAAGAGCTGGTCCAAGGTCAATAAAAAGGCAACTCTTGCATATTGCCTATAATGATTACAATAACTTAAGAAATGTTCCTGTAATGTTGTGACATATTTGCTGAAAGTGAGAAAAAATGGTGCAAACACAAACTTTATTAGGCCTAAAATATTGTCACTTTAATACTCTCTATGGTATTTCAGACCTAGTGAAGCATTCAGTTATGTGTTTCTTGCCCTGACATGTCTGCTCTTTACTGACTCACCTCAGTTGTTTTGAGAAAGACAACAGGGGTGGTATGGAGAAAACAGAATGACAGTGGTAAACACCCATACTCATTTCTGGGATAACCACAAAGGTACACACCTGACATGCACCTGAATAAGACTGTTGTATCAAAAATAATTTTCACTGGGGGGAGGGGAGCCAGGAGAGGGTGGTGGGGTTATGGACTTTGGGGAGGGTATGTGCTATGGTGAGTGCTGTGAAGTGTGTAAACCTGGCGATTCACAGACCTGTACCCCTGGGGCTAAAAATACGTTATATGTTTATAAAAAAATTTTTTTTTTAAATTTTCAAATATCTAAGACAGATGCTGACATGTCACCCATAGGTAGCTAGATCATAGAAAATCTCAGCAGACTGATGGAAACCAGCATTCACAAAGTTTTCTTTCAGCTGAATACTACTCACTATAAAGGAAAATATGACTGAAATAAATGAAAGAGGTGTGCTAATGTTTTTATTTTGTAAAATCAAAGTTGAGGTAATAGACGCTGCTGGTAAGAAGGAGTATGAATGTAAAAAGGGAGGATGATCTGTAATATTTTCACTGTTTATAATGAAATATAATGAACTGATAACTACAGAAAAAAATGGGGTTTCAATGAACTAAGGATAAGAACTACAACTTATTTATTCAACTTTATATTACCTGTACTCTATGACATTTTGAAAATGTCCAATCTATACAAATTTTTTAGTAAAAAATTTCTAAATTTATGACATTAATGATATCTGTATCATTTTAAAAACTGTGCTGTCCACCAACTGAAATGAAAACAAAGGTAATTGAACACTAAAGAGAAAAATGGAAAAAGGAACCAGGAAATGTGTTTAAAAAAGAAAATCAGTAATAAGACTAAGTACAAAAAGCATGACAGAACAGGAATACAAACTTGGAACAAGGAGAGGTTTCTGTTATTATGCTACAGTTCTGAATAAAACCAGAAAACTATAGCCAAAACATGGCTTGAACACATATAGACTTACAGATAAAATGTGTACTTCTTAGTGATCACTAAACCAGAAATCACTTTTCATTTTTTATTATCTTTACCTGCTTCCTGGGTTTCTTGGGATATACTGAGTTTATATGCTTTAAGGGACTCTTTTAAGGCAACTGAAAAGCTAAGTGATTAAATATTTCTTTCACCAAATTTGACTGATCTCTCCTGAAGGCAAGTATTTTAATGGATTCCACAAAGTACTATGGCAGTCAAGAATACGTTTTGAAGAATAAAAGTATTCCAAATATTGGTAAGGTGATGTTTCTTTCCTCTCCTTACTCTTCACAGTCATTAGGTCTGTCAAACTAAAATTTATTTTAAAAGATACTAGTTACATCTACAATAGTTCTTGACTATATACATCAAAATACATTCTCGCTAGGTGATTTCTTTCAGGTGTTTGTTTAAAATCTTGTAAAAGTCTATTGAAATTTTTCACAATACTTTTCACTTCCAAAAACATGAGACTGATTATGAAAATATTCAAAACCTTAAACATTCATGTTAGTATTTAATAAATGAGATTAATCTTTTCAAGAAACTTTATACTTTGCAACTGCAAGAACCCCAGCATACACCAGAGTTTCAAGTACAAGACTCTTGCCAAAAGCAAAAGCACTCAATATATTATTTTAATAATGTAAATCTCAAGTATTAGAAACCAGGCTGTGTGTGGAAAAAATAAATCATTTAGGTGGAAGGGTAACAAACATTCAATTGAAGGATAATGCAGCCCTGAGGGAAAATATGCATATGAATGGAGTTTATGAAATTGGTTCAGTGCCTCTGCAAAGAAAAAATAATTAATTTATTTTAAAGCTACCTATAAAATGTTTTCAATATTGCAGTATGAATTATTTACAGAAAAACTATACATCTAATTTTAAAGCTACCATTTTACTGAAATATCTTGAGTACTGTGGAACTAGAAATAAAAATACACTGTTTCATGTATGTAATATCTGGGAGATTCCCTTTTAATTACATGCTCTTCAAAAAGTTATGGGTTAGTACCTAAATCAGTAATAATTCATTCAACTCTTTTTCTTTTCAAATTTAGTAATTCAAAATAACTGGGATATCAACGTAATTTTCAAATTTGACATAGAATACTCTAGAGTTGACAAATACATGAGAGTATATTACTGTGAAGTTATGACTACTAATGAAATGACCGAGGGAAAATGTCTGAGCTTAAATCATTTTAAAAATACTTTTTAAATATGTCTTTTAAGTTAGTAAGGCTGTTGGGGAAAAGATCTGAAGTTTTACCATAACGCTACAAAAAAACATTCAAATGGATTCACAAAATAACCCATGTTTAGAATATTCCTCTTGCTCTCCTAAAATAAGTCACTTGCTTATACAAGACACATAAACAGAATAATGATAAATAACTTTAGAGTATCACCTATATTTAGTCTACTTCGAATTCTAAAATTACTGTGACAATAATCAACTTATGAACACTAGAGGGCAGTAAAACACCAGAAGGTATATTTAAATTACATCTCTAAATGTGGCAAAGGCAAGCCAGTACATTTATTTTTAAATCAGAATCATAACGATTTAATAAATATGTTTCTTTTTAGGTTGCTAAAGTATAAAGCATTCTTTAGCATGTCATTTTGGTACAACTTACTTTGCAAAATCCAAATAAGAAACATGTCCATGATAAAACCCTGGTTTCATCTCTTTCCAGGAAGTTATATTCTTTACAAAGCGTACCTAAAACAGGAGAACACACTCATTACTGAAGTTCAATATAAAGGAAAATGAAATCTGATGATAGCAAAATACTTTCCATTTAGACATTTAAAACAAATCACACCAGTTTGACAATTACGGAGCTTGAAACACAGGTTTCAACTAAGGAGAGCACAGTGTGATCTGTAATTACCAATTCATCACAGAGGGAGCTATTATCACCACACTCAGAGGAGTGAGAAAGAATCCTGAAAGAAAAACCCACACAGCGCAATCATTACAATGCTGCACAGTGAGTAACTGACATGGGTGAGGGGAGGGTGGGTACCAACACACGCCCAAGTCTGTTTTTTACTCCCAGAGACTTGTTATTCATAAAAACTCATACTTATTAATGGCTCAACAAATAAAAACAAAAAGTAATCCTCAAACCAAAATGATTAAAGAAAAGATGATGATTGTCAGAATAAAGAATATTTAAAGAATAAAGAGGAGATATCATTAGCTTGTTGATAAAAAAGTGTAAATATGCTGAAAAAAAATTTTCTAAAAGATTTTATTTATTTGACAGATCACAAGCAGGCAGAGGCAGGCAGAAGGCGGGGGGGCTGGGGAAGTAGGATCCCTGCTGAGCAGACAGCCTGATGCAGAGCTCGATCCCAAGACCCTGAGATCATGACCTGAGCTGAAGGCAAAGGCTTATTAACCCACTGAGCCACCCAGGCGCCCCTGCTGAAAAAAATTTTAAGAGCTGATTAATATGGAGCTTGATAAGCCTAAGTACCACCAGCTACAAAGCAGTGATACACTATTTCTCAAAGAAAAATGGCATGTATTTTTGATAAGCAAATTTCTGCATGATAAGCAGCAAATAGCTGACAATGTCTTCTGGGGACTAGGTACAGTGTGGTGGTGAAGGTGGAAGGGTCGGGAGCCCACCACCCTAAACTGCACTGAAAGCTTCTGCAAGCTGTGACCTCAGCCTGGAGCACAGGCCTGTGAACTGCACATTTCTGACAGCTTATCAATCTTGCATTTACATTTTAGAAGAGAGTTAGTCACATGGAGATATACTGGACCACTTCTACCAGATTAGTCGATAAATTAATGGCAATGAATGATGATGGGCGCCTCCCAGAAAAGGCCTATTGGTAGTGCAGAGCACAAAACAGTGCAAAAGCAGCCACATGTCAGAAGTGAGCTAGGGAAAAACAGAAGGTTCTGGGGAAATTTATTTCTTAGGGGAAGCATTAATAACTCATATACTGGGGTGCCTGGGTGGCTCAGTCGCTTGGGCTGCTGCCTTCAGCTCAAGTCACAGTCCCAGGGTCCTGGTGGGAGCCTGCTTTTCTCTCTGCCTGCCGCTCCCCCTGCTTGTGCACTCTTCATCTCTGACAAATAAATAAATCAATCTTAGGGGGAAAAAAAACCCCCTCATATTAAAGGAAATAATGGAGTTCTTAGAAGGGAAGTTATAGGAACCTTATCTTATTATCTTATATGTACACACACATACCCTTAAATCTGAAAATTGAATGCAGATAAAATTATGCTGCATTAGGAAACACACAATTATATTTCAGCAGATATTTATGATTTTTCCCCACCGAAAAAAAAAAAAGCCAAAAAAATGTGTGATTTGAGGTTTTCATGTTCTTTCCTATCTGTTAAGGTTCCAAAGAGAATGAAAATATCAAATGGCAAATGAAAAGAAACAGAAAATTAAAATTAGATAACCTAAAAACTGAATCCTTAAAAAAAATTCACACGTTGAATATAAAAAGTCCTTATAAACTGCCACTTACTGGTAAATTATTTCATAAAAAGCCTTTGGTTCTGTGAAAATCAGTTCCATTATTTCAGCCAAAAATGAGAGGGAAGTAGAAGGAAAAGAGAATAGGAATGGGAGGTGGTGGTTTAAGGATACTTAAGGCATATTTAGCGATTCAGCTCTATTTTCCAGAAGCCCGGATTTAATGTGGATGTGATGGTGTGGGAGAGAAACGAAAGGAGGTGGCAGGTTGAAATCTGGGAAAATGGTGTTCTAGAAGCCACATGTTTTAGAGGATCAACAGTACCAACTTAAAAGTGCACTATAGTAAAAGACTCAGGTGGAAATAAGAGTTAGCTGTAAATATAAACTTCAAGGATCCTTCTTTCTTCCCCCTTTCTTAAGGACAGTCAGGGTTAAACTGAACCATCCTAAGGACACACTTCCTTGTTCTATGTGTCCTTCACCGTCCAGTGTAGAGCTCAGGAAGCTAGATAATGCCTGGACTGCTGCAGGGCTTCTCAAACTCAAGGTGCAAATGAATCATCTGGGATTCTGGTCAAAATGCAGATTTTGATTCTGTAAGTCTGGAGTGGGGCCCAAGACTCTGCACTTCTAACAAGTCTCCACAGGATGGCAGGTCAGTGGCTCACACGGAGGAGCAAGGCTTGAGCAAAGGTGGGCCCGGGAGTTACCGCTTGGCTTTATTTACACGAAGCTTGTTTTTGTACTGCTTGGCCAAGGGGCCCTGATGTCTGTCAAAGCTCTTTGGCAAAGATACACTCTCCTATTCACTGCTTTTATGATAAGGAAAAAAATGTACTGAAATAGAACAGATTTTTAAAGATTACCTTGTAAGCCACTGCAATACATAGAACAGAAGTAAGGACAGGAGCAGAATGAACCCTGCCTGCTTCGTCTCCTTCTACCCGCAAACAGTGATGCCTGAAGCATTCTGAAACCAAAGCATTCCAAGAAACACAGTCTAAAAATGAATGAATTGGAAAAAAGGGTTGTGTTTCCAGTTGGGACTGAGGGAAGAGTTGAGTGATGGTGGAGAATAGAACAAGGCATGAATCTTCCACTGTTGTCATCAACTCAGTCTCTTGTTTACAGAATCAGCATTTTAGAGGTTGAAGGGACTTAGGATATCCTGTCCTTTTTATTTTATACATTAGAACACTGAAGCTCAAAACCCACATACCTTAGATTTTGGCCCAATCATCCTTCTATAACACAAGCTAATTTTCTTAATTTCTTATTGTTCAATTTAAGCAAAGAGGAAAAAACCCAGAAGGATGTGAAAAGAAGGGAAAGTAGCATTTGTATCATTATTTTGATCAACAAACTTGGGCACTGAGAATTTCAAGTCTTATCCACTGCTAAGAAAACCCCTCAGGTCCAGTCATTCAAAACTCTTCATCCCACAAGCTTTCAAAGCTCTGTTGATACGGCTCTCAAAATTGTTCATCTTCTTCATCACATTCATTATAACCTCCATGTCCAATCCACCTGTCCACTATTCTCGTACTGGACAACCATTTTTGCAATTATGACCACTGACTTATTCTTGCCTTTTATTATCCTGGGTAACCACAGGGATTGCTGAACACTGCTAGTTAAAAGTAAGAGACCTGGTTTAAATGTTTATATAAGAACTTGCATTTTGTTTTCTAAATTCATTCTGAGGTAAATTCACATGGGTTATTATTGCTTTTAAATTCTCTATACTATTATGTTAAAGTCTGTCAAAACATACAGAATCTTTCTCTAATCTCCCAACTATGAGAATACTGAAGGTTCCATATTTAATATATATGTGCATATGTTTTTTTCTTTCATCTCATCAACACTTAAAGTAATGTGTTAAAGTCTCATTAATAAAGCTGTGGCTGATTTACAATTTGCAATAAATCAGAAGATGCTGAGCTGAGACTGACCTTCCCTTTACAAAAAAGAAAAAAGTGCCAAGCAAACAAATGATGTCAATAAGGTTCAAGTGGTGGTTCAGACTCATCTGGAGAATAGGCAGAGCATTTAGAAGAGTCATTTACATACTGCTGAAATTCTACAACCATCCTTTGACGAGCAACCTTTTTAAAAAGTTTCCTTTTCAGGACACCTGGGTTGTTCCATTGGTTAGGCAGCTCAGGTCACAATCTCAGGCTCATGATCTCTGGGTCTGGCTCTATGCTCAGCAGGCAGTCTGTGTCCTCTCCCTGTCCCTCTGGCACACTCCATTAAAATAAGTAAATCTCAAAAAAAAAAAAAAAAACAAAAAACAGTTTCCTTTTCAAAGTCTGAAGTTAGCCACTTCTCCTTTTACCAAGTTAGCTGGTTCTCCCCAAAGTACCCCCTGCAGACTTTTCTCTGTCTCTCTTCCTCCTTCCATCCCCACTCTCACCCTTTCATCTGTCAGCCTCACTGCAGTTCCCCTCCACCATTTTCTGCCCTCTCACCTCTCCTGCACCACTCGCCTAATCTTTCAGTTTTTCTTCTGGTTTTCCTCTGCAGTGGGACATCCTGCTCAAGACCTCGAGATCAGGCTCTGGAATAGGTAGGAGTGGAAATGGAGATCAGGTGAGCAAACCGGCGTGCCGTTCACTGTCTGGACTCTCACCGACTACACTTGGCACTAGTGAAAGGGAAGGTGAGTAGGTGAAAGGAGCAAAGCATAATCGTGGCAAATGGACTTAAGAAGACTGAAGACGGAAGAGACAGAAGAGACTGAACACAGTGGCTCGGGGAGAAGAGATAAAGTCACCACAGTGAATTTATTCAAAGAGTATTTCCATACTCTGATTGAAACAGGCTATCAAGAAGGATGTTTCAGAAGTAGTCGTTAGATATACTACATGAAAAGAGATGTTTTTATAGCTAGCCTGGAGCAGATCGGAAACTGTGATTTCTGTCAGGTTTTATAACTCAAGCAGTCAGGCTAGCAAGTCATCAGAGAAGACCTTTAGGGAAAACAAGCAATGTAGGGAGTAGTGCTGTGATTTATCTGCTAGTGGACTCAGACCTGAACCAGTGTGGCAGAAAAAGCTAAGAAAGCACCATCTCTTAAGAGTGTACCTAGACCTATATTCTTAATAAGATTCATCTCAACATTAATTATCTGAAAGAACTTGTTTTCACTATCTGTGAGTAGGAATGTCATCCTGACAATCTTGGCCAAATTCCAACTTTGTAATTACTACCTGGTGAATGAATACTACTATTAACTTGGGTAATTACTATATACAGAACTTCTACTCATGCCTATACTTAAATAAACATCCATCGTACAGCTGTGGGTAGTTTTATGAGACTAAACTAGAGAGGAAGTTTTCTACACAAAAAGGAAAAGTGAATAACAACTGGATAAAATATAAAAAAGGTTCAGCAGCAACATAACATAATATTTCACCAAAGTCCAGAAATTTCTGTTCAGTCCTTTCTGCAGGAGAAGGGTGGGTGTGTCCCAAATCACCTGAGCGAAGGGGAGAACATATTACCATCAATCAGAGGGGCTCGTTCTGCCAGTAATCATCACTGACATTGTGCTCAACTAAGAACTACTTTTAGAACCTAAGTCCATTCATTTGTTCTCTCTTTCATTCATTCATTCAACAAAAAATTTATGGAGCATATGTACTGTGTCTCAGACACCATTCTAAACACAAGAATACAGTGGTGAATAATATGATGAACAAGGTTCCTGCCTTTTAGGAGCTTCTACAGAGGAAAAGACCAATAGAAAACAAGTAAATCAGTAAGTAATAGGAAAGATACATAAAGAATGATGATGGTGTACTATAACTTGGAAGAAGTATTTAATATATAGGATAGCCAAGTGAGGTTTTTCTGAGAGGGTGTCATCTAGAGGATGTTAAAAGGATAACATGAAGTCAATGGTGAGAGACCAGTCTAAGATAGACTGCCACGTGCAGAGGCCTTGAAATGGGAAAGGTTTGGTACATTCAATGAACCAAAGGTCAGTGTGGCTGGTAAACAAGAAGATGAAGTAATGGACCTGGGCTAGATTTAAAAGGGCCTGTTGGCCAAGGTAAGGAATTTGGATATGGATTTTGATGGGGAGGTTAGAATATGAATTTAAAGACAAAGTACTTCACCATCCTGGGAAGTCTATAATACGCATTTTCACATAACCCACTGAGAACTACGTTCTAGCTGTTTGCTACTCAAACTCTGGTTCAAGGACCATAAGAATCAGTTTGGGCCTCAGGTTCCATCTTAGTCCTTTTGAATCGGAATCTGTATTTTAACTGGTGACTGATATACACATTACAAGTTAGGAAGAAGCACTCATCTTAGGTGTGGTCTGAAAAATCAGAATCTGCAACAAACATCAAATCATGCAAAAGACCAGGAGGTGCCCTAATAGCAAATTAAAAGAAAAAAAATTACTAAGTTGTCCTACAGAGAATGCAAATTCTAGGTATTTCCGATGTGTAGAAAGGAGTTAAATATGATCACAAACCTAAACAGATGAGTAGAAAAGAATTATGAAAGATCCTAAAAGACATTGCCACTTAATACCTATCTGACAGTTATTTTAAAGACAAGATGTTCTCTAGAGTAGAGATATTTTCATGATAGCAGAGTAAACTTCATTTTCTAACTATAAGAGCTAATGAATCACCGGTCGCCTGCCAATCCCTACCAATTCACTGAGTAAAGCATGCCTCAAAGATAGAATTCCCATGACTGAGTCTGTCTCCCTCTCATGGCTTACTCTTCCCATGCCTCATATTCTCAAATGTTTATCTTTTCATTCGCTTGTTCGAACTTTCCCTCTTAATTTATTCCAATTTCTTAATTGTGAAAGATCCCTGAACTACAGAAAAGTTGAAAGAATAATCCAGTCAACATCTCTATACTCATTCACTAAGATTCACTAACTTCCCATTTTTGCCTCTGTTTTCTCCATATGCACACACACGCTTAATTTTTTCTGAACCATCTGAAAACAAACAGCAGACATTTTTGATTAAGGATCCAGTTACAAATCACACATTACATTAGGATTTCAGATCTCTTAGTCTCCTCACCTCTAGAGAGGACTGCCCAGCCTCATCCCCAAACACACCTTGTTTGGTTGTCACAATGTTGATACTTTACAGAAGTTCAGGTAATTATTCTGGAGAATGTTCTAACAAGATGGATTTGCCTGTTCGTTCAAGATTAGGTCTGGATTCAACATTCTGGTGAGAAACATTTTGGGTTAAATAATTTGGCGGAAGGGACACCGGGGTGGCTTAGTTGTTAAGCATCTGCCTTCTGCTCTGGTCCTGATCCCAGGGTCCTGGGACCGGGTCCCACATTGGGCTCCCTGCTCAATGGGGAGCCTACTTCTACCTCTCCCACACCCACAGCTTATGTTCCCTCTGGCTGTGTCTCCTCTCTCTGTCAAATAAATAAATAAAATCTTTAAAAAATAAAACAAACAAACAAATAAATAATTTGGTGAAAATATCATAAAATGATGTTTTCTTTAAATAATCTTCATCATTTCTACATCTATGCTTTACGTTCTATGTAAATTACAAATAAGCCTTCTGAAAGATGTGGCCCTGCTTTTTATTTCTTTAGGAATATAGCACAATCCCTGTATCTATTACATACTCAATAAATAAATGAAACCCTGAGAGCAGAGTGGACAGCTGTTCCTAAGGACAGCAGAATATGCAGAGAGAGCTACTACCTGCTCAACAGTTTCATACCTGACTCAACATATTTGGACTTTGCCTCTAAAATTTGAGAAATAATTAAGTATGTGAACAGTTTAGCACAGTGCCTTGTACACTATATATGAAATACATCCAAGAAAGAGCTGGAGCTAAAGAGTATTTCTCTACTTTGCCCCACATAAACATATTTTAAATGCTGCTCATTATGTAATCTCACTGCTTTTAAGATAGTGTTTATGCTTCTCTTCTAATTTTTCTTCCTATATATAACTAACAAGCTATTGAAAGAAAAACAGCTTTATCTCATCCAAATGCAACTGGGAAAATCTATTACTACATGATGCCTGTAAATGTCATATGTGGGCAGCTTCCAGAGATTCTTATTTCATGAAAAAAAATGGTTAGTATCACTGTCAGACATCTTATAGCTGTCATACAACTTTGTAATGCTGGACACAAAATAAGCAAGGTAACTATTTTTCTAAAAAATACTACTGAATAAGTCTAAAATTACTATGGAAGTATTAAGAGATGTTCCTTTAAGCCAAGATGTATTTTGAAAAGCAATCAAGCAAAGAAATTTAACATCTACCACACACACTATAAAAATGGATTATTTAGGATACTTGCCCTTGGTATTCAATATTACATAATGAATAGTTTCTATGACCCACTTAGCTAAATAAGCTCATGTTTCTTCTCATTTACAGAAGAGTTATTTAGTTTGGCTGATGGATGTAGATTTTTGGTTTTATGAAAAACAGTAATTGAGGATACTGCAGAGAGCCAAGAATTATATGGGCAGATGGTATGCCATATACTATTAGACTTTACTAACAGCTCTCAAAGAAATCAAACCTTAACCTTATGTATCAGAGTTACTCTCTTGCTTCAGAGTAGGATAAGAGTCAGCTTTGTAGTAAATAAGTTCAGCTGTTTTCAGATACATTCATAACTGTATGACTATCATAAAACCTTTCTAATAATGCTACCTTAACATATTTAATCCTAGACAGTATTTCCAAATATTATCTTTTCTCCTCATAGGGCCCAATTCCCATTCCCTTCAATATTTATTGAGAATTCTATTAATTTATAATTGTAGTCAGAACTCCAGTTGTGGAGAAACTGTGTGCTACTATTGCTAAAGAGATAAGTGATTTTATTTCATGAGATAATTTCCTCCACTTTTCTTAAGACTATTTCATATCTATCCATTTGTTTATCCGAAGTTTCTTGACAACTTAAAAGGCAAGGTTATGTTAAAAATATAAGCCACAATTTCCGTTCTCCAGGAGTTTGTAGTTAATATTACATAAATTACTAGTAAAGGTGAGATGAAGCTTAGGAGGCTAGTCACAAAACTGAACACAGGTATCCATTAAATAAAGATTTCTCTATCATAAAATGAGACAACAGAATGATTTCTATTGCAAGGTATCTTGCTGAAAATATTTCCTATTTTTAAAAGGATACCATAATAAAGAACATCATTTTCTTTTAAAAAATTCAAGCTTTTAATAATAAGTTCATTAATTTTATAAATATTTAAATACATATAAAATGCAAGGAAATATACCAAATATTGTGAAAAATGTAAAATTATAGAGAAGTTTGTTTAGCAGGGCCACCTGGCTGACTCAGTCAATTAAGCGTCTGCCATAGACTCAGGTCGTGATTCCACAGTCCTGGAATGGAGCTCCACATCTGGCTCCCTGCTCAGCAGGAAGGCCTGCTTCTCCTTCTCCCTCTGTGCCTGCCCCCCAACCCTAACTCATGCACACACTCTCTCTCTCAAATAAATAAAATCTTAAAAAAAAAAGTTTGTTTGTTCCTGTTCCCCAAGAGACTTACAATTCATTGGGGTCAGTACACATATCCCTTAAAATGTTTTTGCCTCTTGAGATACAAAATATGAATGAGGAAGTGTCAGAAAACATTTACTTATCTCCTACTTGTTTACCTGGTCTTGTAGTGACATCACTGGATTATTTTTGGTAGTGTTGATGTGAAGAACATGATACTTATTCTTTGCACACAGATCATAGGCAATATTGGTAAAGGAGGTGCTTGCAGTTTTGGGGACTCTGTTATAAATGATCACCATGTCCTCTTCCTCATCCAGCATGGCCTCTTGCCGAGGGCCATCCATCGTATGTCGCTGCTCAATTTCTCGAACTTCATGTCTTGCAATTGCCCTTTCTGCAAAGAAAAACAGTTGTGAGCTCACTTTTTAAAGACAATGAAAATAATTTCCCATTCCTCAAACATAATTCTCCAATTTAGAAATGAGTAAGAGCACCTGAAGAAATGTTTTGAAGACCAAACATTCAGAATTACTCTCTCAAGGATAATACACATGCATATACAGAAAAACAGAATAAACAGTCATCAAGTTTAGAATACCACAGACTGGAGACCGGTGTAGTTCAAAAGTCACAGCTCATTTTTTTTTTTTTAAGATATTTTAAAAAAATATTTTATTGTTTATTTGAGAGAGAGTGCGCGCACATGCAGAAGCAGGGGGAGTGACAGGCAGAGGCAGAAGGAGAAGCAGGCTTTTTGAGGAACAGAGAGCCTGATGCAGGGCTCCATCCCAGGACCCTGGGATCATGACCTGAGCCAAAGCCAGACGCTTAACCGACTGAGTCATCCAAGGTTCCCCATACTACATTCTAATAGAATAGAATTTTACAGCTTGAATTAACTCTCAAACACACAAAGACAGATTGCATGGATACTAAACTTCACAGTAAGAAGTACACTTAGAAAATAAGTCACTTGGAATTTAAGCAAAGATTTTGGAATTTATACTTAGGATTTAATTATTTCCTCATTTATTAAAAGGTAGCAGGGCAATGGCTATAAATGCTGGAGTGATTTTAGGTAACTAAGAGTAGAAACTATACCAATACAAATCCTTTTTCTTTTTGGTGGTGTACTACATTCTAAGTTTGGGCTATGTTTGTTTTAAGATTTTATTTGTGAGAGAGAGAGAGAGAGCGCGCGTGCGAGAGAGCAAGCCTATAAGCAGGGAGAGTGGCAGGCAGAGGGAGAGGGAGAAACAGGCTTCCTGAGGAGTAGAGAGCCCAACATGGGGCTCAATCCCAGGACCCCAGGATCATGACCTGAGCCGAAGGTAGATGCTTAACCGGTTGAGGCTATTACTATTATTCTTTGTTTAATATAAACTTCAGCTTTGAATGTTTTTTAGAATAAGGAAGCCAGCAAGGGGAAAGAGAGATATCAGGGGATAAAAACTTGTAACAAGATTACAAGTTACCTTGCACAGACACAGCTGCCCACACATACCATGCACCCTCCTACCACTAGATCTTTCTGTAAGCTGTTTCACCTGCTTTGAACACTCTACTATTTTCCCTGTACCATAACGCTGCCTGGTGAACTCATGAACCTCCACATGGAATGTCATCATTGCTCAAACGGGAAGAATGATCCAATCTCCCTAACTAGGTACAATCATACACATAATGCATACATATGTCTCACATACCACATGTTTCAAAATAGCAATTTTTAAATATTGTATGTGTTATTGGTATCTGTCTACTATAAGGCATGACTTAATACAATGACATGAAAAAGCAATGAGGTACAATTAGAGTAACAAGCATAGGCTTCAAATACTGTCAAACCATGCATTTTATATTTTGGTTCAGAAGATATGGTCACCACATTATAGAAAATATACTCGGAGCTGAAAATTCACATTCATAAGACTTGAATAAGAGTTCCAGGCCTGCTACTTACTAGCTGTGGGCTTTCCAAAACAGGAGAAGTGCATATGTTCTATATGTATATGCATATATGTTTTCTTTTTTTTTTTTCCTTCCCATTGGGAGAGCTGGATGGGAATGTGCAGAGAAGGAAATGAGCTTAATGTTAAGCACACTGCTGGATTGCCTGGGATATCCAGGAGATGTCATGTAGATAATTGGGCACATAGGTCAAGAGTTGAGAATAAACATTCAAGTAGAAGACATCTGGGAAAACCATGGAAATGAATGCAACTGCCTACATAATCTAGAATATGTAGCATGGGAAAGAGACTCTGGGACAGAATCTTAGGAAATACCACCATTTAAGGAGCAAGTAGAGACAATCTGTAGAAGGAGGCTAAGAAGAAAGAAAGAAAGAAAAAGGAAGCAGGGCAGACTTTCAAGAATCACATGCCACATGATAGCATATTATTTTTCAAATTGACAGTGCTTTCAAATCAAATCTCGGGGTGCCTGGGTGGCTTAGTCAGTTAAGCATCCAACTCTTGATTTCGGCTCAGGTCATGATCTCAGGGTCCTAATGTGGTGGAGCCCCAAGTTGGGCTCCATGCTCAACAGGGAGTCTGCTCTCTGCTTAAGATCCTTCCCTCTGCCCCTACCCCCGTTCATGCTTTCTCTTCCTCTAAAGTAAATGAATCTTTTTTTTTTTTTTAAATCAAATCTACTTACTTGACTAATACTAATAACTGTTGATGGTAAAATACTAGTATCTATTTCCACCTTTGACAAATGTAAAGTCAGTAAGTCCAGTCCAGCCACATTCTTTACTTCTAGGTATTTGACAGTTCCAATTCTCTTTATCAAAGATGCTCTGCATCCAGTTACTACAGTTCCTCTGAGACTCTCTTAAATCAATGGGAAAGCTTTATTAGTTACAGCACGTTTGTAGTGCACTTAGAGACTGTAGGCAGTAATTTAAAATACTCATGATGCTTTCTGAAGTAATTTTTTTTTCATGTTTGAGTAATGAATTGTAAAGAATCTGCTATGCAAGCTATTTCAGAACCCCCAGAAAATGTACAGCCTACAAACAACATGGGGGTGCAATCTGAGAGTCATGAAATGACAGCCAGGCCAGGCACCACCGGCAGATGGCACTAATGCGTCCAACACGGAGGACAGACCCGGAACTCCACGGGGTTCTAGTTCTAGACTCCTCTGCAAGGTGGCATGTATCTCTCAGCTCAATGAACATTTCCCTGTGGCAGATTATCAACAAACTCAACTCTTTTGTTTTTTTAAAGATTGTATTTATTTAACAGAGAGAGAGATCACAAATAGGCAGAGAGACAGGCAGAGAGAGAGAGGGAAGCAGGCTCCCCGCCAAGCAGAGAGCCCGACGTGGGGCTTGATGCCAGGACCCCAAGATCAGGACCTGAGCCGAAGGCAGAGGACCAACCCATTGAGCCACCCAGGCACCCCCAAACTCAACTCTTAAAAGACCATTCATAACAGCAATAATTACCTACTTCTGCATTGGCAAGGCATTAAAGGCCTTATTTTGTGCAAGAACATAATGATCAAGCTAAATATAAAAATGGCACTAAATACACCAAACCAGATCTACACAGCATCAAAGTCACAAAGATGTATGTATCAGACCACAGAAAAATGAAAGGAAACAGAAGTGAAGAAAATATTTTTTAAAATCATATCTTTAAATGATAATCTTTTTTTTTTTAACATTACGATTATTGTTTTGGGGAACACCTTTTCCCTTTGAACATGTTACTAAATGTTAAATGTACTAAACAACTTATACATTTATAGAGAAAGAGAAATTATAGAGAAATAAGTTTTGGGTTTAGTACAAATTAGAGAACCCATGCATATATAACTCTCTCCCCCACTACAGTCAATTTTAAAATGGTCTCAGCAGAAAATAAATACTTCACAAATGTCCAAAATGTGTAGTATCTTTGTATTGTGGATAACAGATTAGGACTTAAGGGAGAAAATAAATAACATAAGGAAAGAGCAATACATTGGCTTGTCTTCAAATACAGAAACTTATGCATGTTAAAGTAAAAAATTTATAGTTAGAATACAGGTAAATAAGTAATAAATAAAAGGCAAAGAATACTAAGAAAAAAATTACCAAATTTTAATATTTACAATTATAAGAAAAAAAAACAAAGAAATGAGCAATGACACCATTAATATCTCAGGTGATAATAAGCTAAGATGGTTTATAAGAGGTTTAAACCATATATGCATGACAGTGCAAAGCAAAAGTATTCGTGGCCTTATGACTTTTTGGGCCATGGAATCCTTTATGATGAAAACTATGGACCCTCTCCAGAAAGACTGACTTGTGCACTTCAGGAAAGGGGCTCTATGACCCCAGATTAACTACTTAAAAAAACAAACAACCCCCCCCAAAACAAACCTCCAAGGACAGCAAGCCTAATAGTGTAATATTAAGTATAACAGTAAACTGCCTTAAGGCAATAGTGTATACAGAGAAAAAAAAAAGTAGGTTATTCATAAGTAAGACTGTAGGTGAAGAAAAATCACTGAGGAAACTGGCAGTGTCCATCTGAGAATTGTCTATAGGTAAGGATGCCTTGGCACAAAACTTGACCCGTCCAGACCCCATGGCAAGTATGCCTGTTGCACAGCTAGATAAACTGGGCTCTAACAGCTTGGTGCCATCATATCTGAATTAAAGGGGATCCTCAGCATTCTCTAGGGACAAACATAGAATTGTGTAAATCCCCAACCATATTGTGAAGTGTAATTTATTCCCCAAAATACGTGTATACTATGTAAACTAGGAAGAGACAAAGTTACAACAAAAGTAAGTTATTATGCAGCTATTTAATGAATCCTTTCTTCAGCACCACTCACTGTGAATGTACTATCTAACCAAACACCTGATCCTCATGGATGCAGTACTTGGCAATGACTATAAATTAAATAAATCGGTTGTCTCATTGTATACATCATTTGTTTTAAGAATACTTTTGTATGGATCGGTCTCCTTGAATTCAATCACCATAGGGACTGACAAAATAAATTTCTACATGGAAGGCTGAAGGCTGGACGCTGAACACTGGTCAGTAGTTTCCTGTGTGGTTTCCAGGCAGTCAACAAGGGGTGTTTGAGCTATCACTAAAAGTTATACTTTTTTTTTTTTTAAGATTTTATTTATTTATTTGACAGACAGAGATCACAAGCAGGCAGAGAGAGAGGAGAAAGCAGGCTCCCTGCTGAGCAGAGAGCCCGATACGGGGCTCGATCCCAGGACCCTGGGATCATGACCTGAGCTGAAGGCAGAGGCTTTAACCCACTGAGCCACCCAGGCACCCCAAAAGTTATACCTTTAAGTGGATCATCCTGTAAAAAAAAGAGCTGATACATCAGGGAAATACAAATCAAAACCACAATGAGATACCACCT